GGAATCTGTTTCTCCCAACCCGTCAGATACACACAGCCAGAAAGAGAGGACAAGTTCTCTAAAGCCTCCTCACACCCATGCAGTTGGTGCCCCTCTCGTTTAGACAGCCAGATGTTTACACTTGCTCTAGGCATGGCCATGTTTCCATGACGATACAAGCTCAGGGTTAGTCACATGCCTAAGGGAAGACCTGAGGCTCCAGATCCTGGATCAGATTGCTCCATCAACAGATGGTATCAGTTCACCTGATTTTAAGGTCAACTTTCACAGACTCCTCGAAAAATCCTGCTCTTTGCTTTTTTTAAATTTTAATAATAATAATAATAATAATGTGTTATGTGTTGTCATCATTGTGTGTTCCCATACAATGGCGAAATTGGCTCTCTGCACTTAACTCATCCATCTCCAGATGGAGCAGTGGGCAGCGATTAATGGCGCCCGGGGAGCAATTGGGGATAGGGTGTCCTGCTCAGAGACACCACGAGATGTGCAATGACTGGGAATCAAACCTGGGACTTTCGGGTCCCGAGTCGGCTGGCCTGCCTCTACCCCATCTCGGCCCCTGTGTTTTAATAAAAACCTTTCTGCTAGGACAGATTTTTCACAGCCAGGAGTAACATTGTGTCAGCACTTCTTCAGTCCTAAGTCACAAGTTGAGCCTCCTGACAAACAAATTGGTTTCCCACACACTAACAGCATGCTTGGAAGCGTTCCGTCTCCTTGTCTTTGGTGGTAGGCATGTGGGCTCATTCTCAACGGGGCATTGTAAAAAGATAAAGGAACACTCTACCCTAACAGGAAAATAAAACCAGATCCACCCACTTGAAAAGAAACAGCCCACACACAAACACGGAGAAAAAGCCCTCACCCATCACAAAACTCAGCAGAGCCTGGCAGGATCTCGAAGAGGACGTGTTCTAGTAAGATTTACGCTTGGCATCCTAAAAGCTGGGTCTTTGCGGACAAAATGCTTTAAATGTCAACGTGGATTCGCAAGAGGACATTTGAAGGCTCTTGCAAATAAAAAATAATGTGCGCGTGTGTGTGCATGAGTGTGTTCTTTGACAGAAGTTTTGAGATGTTTTAGCTTTAGAAGTGGCACAAATGTCTCCTTGGATTTGGCTTACTGCTTTTTCACAAAAACAAAGACTCACTAGTGTTTACAAAGTCTCTTTTTGTTGTTGTTGCTTTGTTGTTGTTGTCTTTGTGTTGTAAATACTGGCAGGCATTGCTACAGTTTAGCCCGAGTACCAGGAGCTTATTGTATACCATAAAGACATGTTAAATAACACGTTGCTCTACCATTTTGCTTTCTAAAAGAGTGAATGTAAGTTTGTGCCTAGTTCACATAATGATTTTCTTCATTTATACAGTTGGGTAAAAAATAAAATAAAATAAAAAATAGGGGAAGCACCCACATAGTTGGTATTGCACTCTTTCACTGACATCATGATGAAAAGATGGTGAAGAGGAGTAGAAGACACAGAAACCTAATTAAGATTCTGCAGAGCGCGAACAAATTAACCTGAATTATGAGCATGCAGATGCAAAAAAACAGACACACACACACACATAGGTTTGTCTCTAAAATAGGTGGAGCAGAGGATGACATTCACACTCAAACAGGCATGACTACCATGGACATGCAATGATATTTTAGGCAGGGGAGAAGCAAAATATTATAGGCCTATCTTCTCCAGCAACACCACCGTGGAAAATACACCAAAAATAGTCGACGAGATATGCGTATCTACTTTCGCTGTACTTGGAATTTAAAGCAGCCTCAAAGTGCCCACCTCATCGCTCTGATTTGGGGCAGTGGCGTGATAAAATGACATGCAGTCTCATGTGTAAAAATTAGCTTAACAAGGAGAACTGGATAAATAGGCTGTAGCATGTAGCCTACGCTAATGACACCGCAGAAAGCGACATATGCCAGGCATCAGTATGTCATTCCTAGGGGATGAGGGGTTTACGGTAAGAGGAGCGTAAGAACAAGGTGGTGGTGATGTGTGTGGCAGTTGGTGTTATGTATTTTTTTAATCTCTAAGAACAAAGCCTTGTGGCCTGAGAAGATGGGAGGGGTTAGAAACATGGAAATGAAGGGTCAAAAGGAGGAGGAGCACGGTTGTCTACGTCTTGAATAAATGAGACCAGAGGGGATGGACTTGACCCAGACTGGAAACAGGAAGGAGGGTAATGAAGTGCAAACATGCTTTGTCATGCCATGTTAGAACCATAGGATTAGAATTCTATAATTAGAGGACAGGGCTCTGTAATGCCAGCCTTCTTTTCAGAGTGATGAGCCAATAAGTCCAAACGGCACAAAAGGGACTGGAGAGAACAGATGATGCGATGAGAACAGGCAGGTCTGGAAGTTTTCGTTACCAGTGAATTATGCTGTGCTATCACACAGCGCACAGTCTGACTGACACGCTGAAGGAAAGTGAAATTTGGCACGCCGGTGAGAATTGCTGGCGTTTCTGTGATCAGCTAGAAACAATGTAATTTTACGTGGCAGACAAGCTGCTGGGACTGCTTCCTCCAAAGCGGCATGCATATTTAATTCAATTCATTTAAAGTTTTTCATGTATTATTGCACACAGAACCTTTTCATACGACGTGAGGTATGTGTTCCCCTACCAGTTCAGCAGGTGACAAATTCATTGGCGATACGACAGAAGGGAGAGGGCGTTGAACCTGGGTTGTATTTATAGCTGAGGAGCAGTGGACTGCTAGATAACACTTGCATTCATATATGAATATTTATCCCGAAGGCTGGCATTGGAACAGATGAGCTCGCAATGGGAGAAAGAAGAAGCCATCTATCTCACTCTCTCCCCATTTCTGAGCTTCATTCTTTACTTTCATACATCCCCTTCACTTGCAATAACCATTTCAATGCCTCTTTTCCTCTTTTGCATTTTCCACCCACATTCTCCCTCTAGGCTTCCCATCTTCTTCTTGATAACGCCCGATCTATTGCTCTTCCCTTAAAGTGCCTCCCCCCACCCGACATCTCTCCCGTCTGTAACACTGATGTATGGAAAGAGATGGAGCCCAAAAAAAGGAAAAAGTGTGTGATTAATGTCTTTGAGAAAAAGATGAATAATCACAGGAGACTGGGGGGGCTGGTAGTTGGCCTTAGGGGAGTAAATATGGAGAGTTTTATAGCTGCTCACTTGGGAGAGAGGGTGGAGGAGGAGGGTGGAGGGGAAACAGAGGAATACAGCAACAGCAGATCCATTCAAGTATATTAGCTCCCACCTCCCCTCCATACACAATAACCCGCTCATCTATTCTCTCCTGTCTTTCATCATCAACACTGAATCTCATCCTGGTGACAGCACCAACACACAGAAGCCACACAAAGCCATGCATGTGTGCACATGCTTACCCATCCTCACAATTACCCTGCATTTATATTTTTCAGGCCAGGCCCACTGTATGCGTTTGATGGGCCAAAACATGTGGTGTGTGATGTGGTTGACAGCACCCCCCCCCACCCCACCTCACTCCCCAAGCTGCCCTGCTTTTAAGCCCTCATCCTCCAGTGGCTGCCTGTCCCCTGGAGTAGATTGCATCTTTTATTTATCATTTGCTCTTCCTTGGCTTTATCTTCCCCAGTTAGAAAAAAAAAAAAGAAATTCTGGGGCAAAAATTGCAATCAGCATAACATGCCCTCCTCCTGCTGTGTACTCGACTGTCATCCTCCACTCTCTGTGAGCATGCGGGATGAGACTGACAGCCCATGCAGACGAGGAGGCACACACAGACACATGCACAGCCCCTCTCTGTGTTTATCAAGCCCCACACACTGTGACACACACATACACACTCTTTCACACAAATAGCCACAGAAAACCACCCTGTTCCCCTCTTTGTCACCATTTTCCAAAGCGCACACCCACACACACACATATCTGCTTAGTGACGCCTCATACCTCTTTTTATTTCTGTGTTCAGCTTCCTGAAGCCCCAAACGAGTGAGCACATAAATGAGTCTAATGCTGGGGAATCTGGTAAACAGGCCAGAGAGAGGGAGGGAGAGCCTGCCTGTCTGTCTGCTCCATGGCTACTATTGTGCACTGCACATTCTCTGAGCCCACAAGAGCTGAAGCCATCTCCTCAGATTCTTTGGAAAGGGGGGGTCGATGGTGGATAGTAAGCCAAGAAGTGAAAGAGGAAGGGGGGGGGGGGGGACCAGGGAGAGCGAGATGGAGCGGATGAGGGAGTGAGGGAGGAAGATCATGCATAAAATCTTGTTTACAGAATGCATTAAGATTCAGATGAACTGGGGAGGGTAATGGGATTAGAATCCTGAACCGTTTCCAAGGGTGGGGAGTCGGATTGACAGCTGAGTCTATTGCACTGACGAATGCAGTGAAATATTCTGGCTCTGGCAAAGACAGGGCAGGCAGAAAGGCAAGAAGCAGGGGGTTTCTGAGCCCAGAGCACCTCTGTTTACTTCAAGGTGTGCACCACAAAAATGCATCTGAAAGACAAGGGGGGGGGGACCTTCTTTGTCTTTATGGGTGCATTCAGCTTGGGCTTTTAAAATGAATGTTGGGGGAGGCTAAAGAAAAGCTTCAGTGTGTCTCACAAAGGTGTTTGGCAAACAAAATAGAAGCACTGTGGCTTTAAATCACCGTCCCTCCCACCCTTTCTAAATATCGTCTATTTAGCCAGCGGTGAAACGATATAGGGGGCTTTTGTCTGCGTACCCATTGGTGGGGGCATGGAGAGCTGGAAAGACACAAAAATAGGAACAAAGTCCTAAGCTTCCAATTGGAATTGCTCAGGGGCAATTCAATGCGCACAGACCAGTGGTTAAAAACAAGGAGAAGTGCGCTTAAATACCCCGCATTGTTTACAGCAGGCAGAGCAAACACGAGCCCTTTATAAGTCTGCTACGTCTCCGCGGAAAATGCAAACAGAGAGAATGTTTTTGTTGATTACAGCTCGATTCCTTGCTTTTTTTCACGCTTTAGTCCACTCACCGACTTGCAATACGTTGTTCACCCAGCCACCCTCCAACAGAGTGACACCCCGCAGGAAAGGCAGCTGAGTCTCGTCATTATTGTCACCGCTAGATCCACTTTCCTCCCCGCCGGCGTTGAAGGAGGAATACATACAGATCTCCTTCTCGCTCCTCGGAAACGACCAGTATACGATCCTCCTCTGGACGGGCTCCGGGATCCGCTCGAACCGCTCCTCCACCCTCTGGAACGGCCACTTCTCCGCGACTCTGCGCGCCGCGATGTCGAGCAGCGATTCGGGGTTGTGCGTTTTCCCGTTTCCAGACACTCCCGAAGCGGACCCAGCGCCGCCGCCGCACGGGACTCCTCCAGCCCGCTGCCCCTGCCTACACGCCGAGTTGTAGCCGGGCCGGCAGCAGAGCCGCTTGGCCGGGGGCTGCTGGACTCGCTCGGCCATGATCGCACCGCTTCCAACCTGAAGCGCAGTTCCTCTCCGATCATATAAACGGGATAAGGAAGAGAAAAAGAGCACTCTCGCACCGATTGTTTGCCGTACATGGAGAGGCTGTCCTTATTTGGGGCGGTGGGCGGAGCCTGCCAGTTCCGTGAAGTCCCTTTGTGTTGTCAAAGTAACCGGGATGGGCGGGACCCTGGAACGCGGCCAGCGCACGAGTGGCGCTATAAAAGGAACTGGAGGCGGAATTCCCGAACGTCGGCAAATCCTTTGTGAAGCCGTTCGCGAGCGCGAGGGCGGAGCCCCGACGGCTTTTGAAGTTCCCTTCTCATATGAGTTTAAAGGCGGGGACTTAATCCAGGGGCGGCCTAGCAGTTTCCCACAGGGGTAAAAGGGGGCAAGAAAACTGACTTTTTTTCCCTTTGGAGCCTAAGCAATCACCCCGGGCTCAGCTTCTTCAACAACCGCTCTGATGGTTGTTTTTGAGGTTTAGGTTTAAAAGGACTTTCAGCTGTCAGAGAATGAAAGGCCGTGGGAGGAGGAGGAACATGAAGATATGGAGTGGGACATGCTTGTCCTCTTTAGTTACATCAGCCATTTAGGTCAGATGTATGGCTTACTACACCACATCAGTCTGTTAATCATACATGTGGCTCTTTATATTTATTTAAAAGGAGTCATTCAGTTGCTACTTTGAGCTGTTTTATTCTCTCTGAAAAAAGATGAGTCTTGGGAGGAAGCTCCCTGAAAGGTTACAAAATAATCTTAAATAGAATGTAACATAGTTTTAAAACTTTTTATTTTGAGCTGTGTAAACTATGAAATAAACTTGAAAAGTTTTCCTTGTTTAAATAGTGCAAGGTTAATATATTGACACAAAATTCTGAAATGCTGGTATGCACTCAACGTAAACAAAGCACTTCTATCTGCGTACTTGCACCAAATGCGACAAATTTGAGAGTAAATACCAAATAAATTGTCAGACTTCTCTATCCCTAACAGCTCCTCCAAGGACGTCGCCCTCACTGACATATTTTCAGTCACTTCTGCTGTTTAACTTATTTTTTTAGTTCATATCTTAGATCTTACTATTGTTTTTCTTTACAATTTGTATTTATGTTAGATGGAACTGGGATCCTGTGTACATTCATTCCAGCACATGTACCCCATGTGTGGCGTGAATGACAATAAAGAGACCTTGACCTTGTTTCCATATGTAAAACAAATGTGGTAGTTGGCATCCCGTTACAAAATGTGCTTACAATTTCTTAATTTAAGGTCACATACATCAACAAAATTATTTTAAAAAAAGCAAATTATATTTCTATACTTTATGAATTTCTTCATGACATCACAATTAGTACATTTAAACTGAAACATTTTATTGATTTAAACACTTGATAACTAGGTTCCCTGATGATCAATGGACTGACATGTACATTAATCTGTAAACCCATGATACTTGGCACGGTCCATTGATTTTGTTTCTTGAAATGAAAGACATTCCTTATTACCTAACCATTTTTATAAATGAAGTATGCAAACCAGAAAACATAAAATTCTGTTAGATTTTGTCTCTCTGCCTTTTTCTGAGAACAATATTGCTTTAGCTGTATCATGACAAGGGGGCCCCACTTCTGTTTAAGTAAAATGCTCATAAGGGGGTGAGGGTGCGGTTGCATCGCCCATCTTCCTCTTGATGCCTGTTGAAACATCAGAAGCTAAGAATGATAAGAATGTAGCAAAAGGCTAACACCTTGGGGATGTTTCCTCTAACTTGTCTATAAAGTTGGCCAAAACTATGCTGGTAAACCAGAATGAGTGTTTGCAATGTGTCTGTCCTCTGCTGCATGTGTTCCCAGCTGCCTCGCTCCTTCCTCTGTGAGTACGTCTAAAAGGCTGGCCTTTGAACCACTGTGAAAGTGATCCATGCCGTATGGACAGAGCAGATGTGGCCTAACCTGATTTGGTTTCAATACTTCCCCACAGGAAGTTCACAAAGCCAGCAGGTCCTCCTTTGTTATGTTAGTCTTTTTTTTTTTTTCTCAGAGAGCCACTGGAGGCTTTGCTTTTTTTTTTTTCTTGCTTTAAAATTTGCTTCCCCTGCTTTCTTCTCCACCAGAACTTTTTCACAATAGTTTAATCAAAAACATAACTTTATTTTCTCTAGTTCAAACAAAACAAACCACTTTCCCCCCGCAACTTTTCGAAACCATATGTTTCTATAAAATGCTTCAGTGTAAACTCCACCTATTGCATTTTATTATAGTAATAGTCTAGATTGTAATACATCAGTTCTGTTACAATCGTCAATAATTAATATATTTTAGAAAGTTCAGCCTTATATGATTTCACATAAATTCTAATGAAACATAAATATTTTGAAATTTTGCCTTTTTTTGTGGCTTCAATACGAACTCCTTTAAATAATAATAATGTCATTACATTACATAAAGAAAAAATAGTAAAGATATTTTCATTGCTGAAATGATGATAAGCATAGCTCCACAAATGTATATGATGGAGAAAACAATGCATTTGTTTTAAACTGGTCCCCGAATTTGGAATATATTGCTAAAATTTTGTTGCATCTATTTAAAAAAAGTATAAATGAAGGAGTACAACAAGCTGAGATCCATCAGGAGGAAAAGTTTTTATTTTATTTTATATGAATTATTGTCTCTTTTCAAAACCAAAGAACTACATTTCCCATGACAAGTGAAAAAAAAATCTAATCCAATCACGAGCGAGAACTCGTGCTGCATTCATCAGATCATGGTTAAAAAAAAAATTCCTAAATGTTTTGTTTATTTTAAATTTTTACATTGACAAAATTTTGCTTGGTAAATAAAACTCCACACAGAACAACAAAAAATCTGCCAGAATGAATGCAGACTTACTTTCTAAATAATTTTGGTAATTCAAAACCTCATCATAGGGGTTACTTTTAAAACAAACAAACAAACAAAAACGCTAATGAATAGTGCAAAGCTGACATGAGTGTGACAACGTCAGCATATCTGTTCCAATGTAAAGACAATGTAAAGTAAAAATAAACAATAAATATCTTTAAAAAGAAGAAAAACGAAACTTGTTGCAGCTTTCGTCCCATTCTCACGATGTTACGTGAACGCCTCATGATATGACTGGTTTACTTCCTGTAACAGTCGGGAAGGTCCTGCTGGTTATTGTCTTGGGTCTAAGTACTAACTTCTGCACTTTGGTAAGTTTATTCAATATTTACAGCAATATTTTATAATAACTTTAAAATATAAAATAGGCGTTTTTTATTGTTGTTTTTGTTTTACATTTAGACGCAGTACTGGTGCGCTCTTCCGATATAGCATTAGCTCCTAAAGTTAGGCCTCGCAATATTATTAATAGGCCTGAGAGCTAAAAGTAATATTTTCACAACACGTAATTCCACGGACAATGTTAGGTTTTGTTTTGTTAGTACAAGGCTCCGTCCGAGAACTGTATATTAAACCGTCTTTCCATTGTTATGATGCTAGCAGCTACGCGGGTGATGCTAAAGTTAGCCGTTAGCATGTTGGGAGGCTGGGTGGTGATGAATCCCTACACGGAGTAAAAAATACCCATTTCTTAAAAATAATCTCAAATGACATAGTTTGCGTGTTTCAGATAAAACTCATGAACGGTTTCCGTCAGAAGATTTTTACTTCACCGGTTTGTTTAGACAATATTAAGATAAATAGTTGGAAACGTGTGTGTTCCCAAAAAATAGTTTTGAAAAACACTCGAGTGAATAAGTTCCAGCCTCATACGGTATGTCTAGAATCAATATTAAGAGTTTCAGTTAAAATTATTTGCTTTGTTTTCTGCTTAGTTTGATAATGCTAAATTTTCAGATAGACCAAGAATCCAATTGGCTTTGACACATAAATTAAGCAGTTTTAACAACTTCCTGTGAGGATCTTCCGGTGAATTTTGTGGTTGTCTAAATTGCAAAACAAAACAAAGTATTTAAATTTGAATAAAACATGTTTTGTGTTGAAGGGTTGTCAAATGAAAGCAATTAGAAAAAATACTAACCAGTACAATTGTTGCTATTTTTGTAGCATTATTTATAACTAGCAGCTGTATCATTTTTGTTTTTCTATTTGACTGGTTTAATACTATTTTGATTACCTCTTGTGTCTAATTTAAAAGTCATGCTTGTTCTCCAAGTTTATTTGTTGCAACTACCAAGTTCTCTTTTATACTATTTTTTTTTAACAAATGAATTTTAAAAGTCTAAAAACTTGCAGGTCTCATTTGCAAAAGATATCTGTAATCTCAGTGGGATTTGCTTGTTTAAAGAAAGGTTAATAAATAAATAACTAAAAATGTAGTTTGTTTGATAGCTTTAATTTATAATGTAAAAAAAAATGTCTAAACCCAAAAGACAAACCAGTGCTGTGACTATAAAACAAAAGAATTGGCATAGAACCCTATTTTATTGGGATCTTTTTGTACCAGAGAAATATTTTTACTGTCAGCCTTTGCAAAGACATGGTTTGTTCTTATTTAGTGGGATATATAATGACTACTAAACAAAATAGTTTGACAGACCCAAAGCATACTTAAGCATCAACAAAGTGATTCCCAAAGAGCCAATAGCTGCAAATTGAACATACAGAAAATGATGAACTGAAAGATCTGTTTTTGTTTATTGTCATACATTCCTAGAATTATCATCGGTGGGTTCTGCTTTAGTGGATAATTCTTCTGTATTTTGTAATCCATCTTGCACCTCTTAGCTGTTCATGTTCCACTCTCTCCTGTTGCTCACAGGTTAGATTTATCCGGGTCGTTGCTGAGCAGGATGATTGATGTTCGAGCATGGGCAGAATATGTTGTGGAGTGGGCTGCCAAAGACCCCTACGGTTTCCTCACCACCATCATATTGGCTCTGACCCCTCTGTTCATCGCCAGTGCACTGCTGTCCTGGAAGCTGGCCAAAATGATTGAGGCACGTGACCGCGAGCAAAAGAAAAAGCAGAAGCGTCAGGAAAACATAAAAAAGGCCAAGGGGACCAAGAAAGACTGAGCCTTTTGTGAGGGGGCGGGGAAGGATGAGGGCATAAGAGAAGGACGAGCAGCCATCAGTCACAGCCCTTCCTTGTCCCAGCCCTACTGCCAACCCAGGGCCACTACGCCTCACAGTCAGGCAGCGGGACACTGGCCCCATAGGCCTGACAGTGCTGCGATGGACACTAATGACAAGAGGAGACTTGTCCCAGTAGGACTCTGGTCAGCAAGAGCTCAGTGGTCATCAGTTTTTTTTTTTTTTTTACAAAATCTTTTGCCATATTGTGCAGCTGTTGTAACACCTTGCATTCCATTGTTAATATCCCTTTACTGCTGATTTGACCTGATGTTTTGAGCATACTGACATGTTGTCAGTCCACTTGCAATCAGAACAAGTTTCTGTTCAATAAAGGTTTTATGATTGATAAGAAAACAGATTAAATCATCAGTTCTTGTATTTTAATACACATTGATAACACTGAACCAGATAGCCAGTATTCTCAGGTTAAACACATCACTTTATGAATAAATACAAATATATAAAGATCAGGCTCATACCTGGAGCAACTTCTTGTATTTAGAAATTGCACTAACTGCCATGGTGTACAAACAATAAATACAAATTTGAGTTAGTCTCCTGTATCTTTCAGGTCCTGCAAGTTTATCGTCTCATACAGCTTAAAGACAAAGTATAATTTAATCAGGCTGTTTTAGAAGGCTTTAAGAAAATTTCAGTACGGAAAAATTGTCACAAATCTTTTTTCTATGTGTTTTAATAAGGATTTACCCTAAAGATCTATTGAAATCTATTGATATTTTACTTTGTGATGGACTGGAGACCTGTTCAAGGTGTCCCCCGCCTCTCACACAGTAGGCTGGACATGGGCACCAGTGAGCCCCATGACCCAAAAAGGAAGAAGTGGGTAAAGATGGTGGATGGAATTTCTTTTTATTAGAAACTGTATTGTGAGGTGAAAGATTTACAAGTCCACTAGTTCAATGCTTTTGAAAATGAACCTGTAAATAAATAGTTAAAACAAAAATATAAAACAAACAAAAAAAAGTCACCATCTTTTAATTGTAAGATTTTCTGCAAGTATTAAAAAAAAATTCTCTCACTATCTCAGATCTACGTTTCAGTTTCTCATTTTTAGAACAAAAGCCAAAATGCAGAGCAGCATTTGTAAAACTAAATCCTAAACCAGTTCTATAAAAGGTAAAATGTATTTTTTTTAATAATGTTCTGATCATAAAAGAATTAAAATTTAAGAGCACATACAGTATTTGCTTTTGACTGAATGAACTAATATTTCAGCTGAACAGTTTTGATTGTGATTCAATTACTAGATCATTTGCAATGCACACAAAGTGAAAAACTTTTTTTTTTTTTTTACGTATATACAGTACTCATTTAAATGGCTGTTTAACAAGGGGGTTTTCTGCTATTCTTTTTAAAACATCACTAGATAGAACTTCATTCTTTTAAATATTGTGACTTGTGACATTTAAACTTATTGCTCCAGAAGCTACAGTATCTTGGGATGTACTCAGTTCTTACGTTTTCTAAATGTGATCTACATTATAAGAGTTGTACTAAATATACTAAAAGTACCTTCGTTTTATTTTTAAAACGAAAACGCAAACAAAATTCAATTCAGTTTATTTATATAGCGCCAAGTCACAACAGAAGTCATCTCAGGGCACTGAACAGAAACATTATAGTAAGTTAATATTTACTTAAGGTAGGGTATTAGAAAACAAGATATGGTAATTTGATCCAAATTTAACAACGGCTGTAGTCGGGAGTTTTACGTTTCTGATGAATAAATTAAAACTGAAACGTTTTCTAATATTCCAACTAAAATCACTCACAGCATTTTTATTCCAGAACCTTGTGGATTTCATAAACTTTATTCTCAGTGTGTGGATGTCTCTAGTTATTTCTTTGAAGTGGGCATCCAGGATCCTGGCTGGAACGTGTTCGCAGTGCTGCTTGGCTCCTCGCTGACCTCCTGCTTGCCAAAGGCAGTTGCGGCTGCATGGCCCTTGGCTTCAGTCCTTGCACGAGTCGTCACCAGACCTTCCTTGTACTCTTTAGCCTGCAGAGCCTGATCGTTCTTCTCCAACTCTTTGGCCTTCTGTTTAATCTCGTTCATCTGGGACTCATTCTTCATGAGCTCCTGTGGAATAAACCAGAAGTGTCCGTGCTTACTGTGAGAATTATCTGTAAAATAAAGTCTAAAATGCAGTTCTGATCCCTCTTTCCACTAGGGGTGCACGATTGCAGATTTCTGGCCGATCACCGATTTCTAAAAAGTGACCTGCCGATTCCGATTTATAATCGACACTGTCAGGTGTTATAAGGTCACAATGCACCTTCAATTTTCAATCTCATTTTATTGAAAAACAAACCCTTGAACAATATCCTAGAAACAATATAAACTTGTTTTAACTGGCCATGAGGTAGTGCTCTGAAATATAAATTAAGTTTAGACAATTGTTAAAACAACAACCAAAAAAAAAAAAAATCGGTAAAATCGGTTTCTCATGCAAGTATCGGCCGATTTCCCAAAATTAAGGACATCGGGGCCGATTTATTGGTGCACCCCTACTTTCCACCATAAAGAGTGGCCAATGTTCATAAAAGTACATTTATTCACTATAATAATTTCTAAGTCGTTATTTGCCACATAAATGAATACTAAAAGAAAAATTAAACATCAAGCTCACATAATCTGGACTTGGAAAAATATTAAAAGGCTGTTGGATGGATTGTGAGTTTATAGGTAAACAATATGCTGTAGATACGTTTCCTTTAGGTCCCTTTGAATCATTTCTACACAATACACTGGATACATGAATAATTACACCATTATAATTTAATTGGTTTCGATAGCCTCCCTGACAACTTGTATGTAACTCACAACTACCACAGCCATGATACTGACCACTTCCTGTTCTGACAAGTAAAGGTCTGTGACCATAGAGTTATATAATACCATGTTTATATAATGTTTTATATAACTCTATGTCTGTGACCAAATCATTACAAGCTGGAATGTCCAAACTAAAGCTGTGATCATTTTCTCTCCTCAATCGGCAGCATTTATTTTCTTTTATAGGATTTGAAATACTGCACGGCTGCACTTCAAAACTTCCAGAAACAATCTTGTCTGTTGAAAATGAAGCAGGACATTCACTGATAACAAGCACATTCAGTTAACCCCAAGTTTACTTTTTTCCAATAACTCCCGATGAGAAAAGTGGTACTTGGAACAGATTGCTTAGCTTACGTGACAGGAAGTATTTACAACATCAGCAACCATTCTAATTCATGGTAACAATTAGAAAGCGGTCCACTGGTGGAATGGTTACCCACTTGAGCTACAGCTAGTGTCCAGTGATGTTAGCCTCGCCCTGAAGCCGGCAGCCAATAAAAGAAGGGAGGACTGGGCATAATGCTGCTGTATGCTGGCAAAACTGAAGGACTGGAAAAGAGAGGGGAGAGCTGTGGCCAAAAAGCGCTGCTTTGGGGAGGGAGACAAACATACTGAGCTGCTTTTCCAGCCTGTTAATGACAGGATTTAATCCAATCAATTTATGTTGGTTTGGAGCAGGAAGAGAGAGAGAGAGTGACAAGGGGAAGGGTAATGTGCCGGGAGTGCAGCCTTGGACACATCAACACTGTCCAGCTGTCGATGGCAGCTATTGGGCAGACACGAGGCAGAAAATTGGAAGAGAATGTTCTGGCAAAAGAGGCAGGGGATGGCACTGGCTACTGGCAGGAGCATCGGACTGAGAGATAGAAAGAGTGCCCAGGCACTGGCCTTCCAAGGGATTTCCTATAGACCCACATTTTACCGGCCAAATTATTCCCAGTATTCTCACATTTAAAGAGCAATAAACCCAGTGAGATGAACACCAGGAAAGGGAGGGGGGAAAAAAAACTACTGCACGCCTTCAATATTCCCATCTTGGAGAATGCCAGAAATAAAACACAAAAAGCCACGATGGAGGCTTCTGCTGGAAAAAAAGAAAGTAAACTAGGACACGATGTCAGTGAGCTTCTCGCTCAGGCTGCGTCTGCTCTCAGTCTCACCATCACTGATCTTCAGCTGCTGTTTATTTTAACACCTGTCCCCTAAAGTTCCTAGATTCAGTTTGAAATTGTAACATAAAAACAAATCAAAGCTTTTCCTTTCCATCTTTGCTTCTTTCCCCTCCTTTGCAACTAGTCCCACAGAGTCCAACCATCAGTGCAGCGGGGAAGCTGGGGGGGGCGGAAGTACCTCTAAGGAGGGGGGCTCCTTCCGTCTGCCTTGGATCCAAGCTGGAAGAGGAGAAGAGATGAGCAAAAAAAAAAAAAAGAAGAAAAGTGAGCGAGAACACCCACACGAACATACGGTGCACAAACAAAACCTGCAGACGTTTTTAAAGGCAGCAGCTATGGCATCACCAACAGGAGCGCTACTGGATGGGGAAGGAGTGAACCCTGTGTTTTTAAACTTTATCTAAAGGGGAACATACATGTGATAAACTCAAAACATTACGGTTTCTTTGTTCCATGCAGACAAGGCCACTAAGTGCTGTGTCTCACAAGAGAGTGTGAGGATTTTCTTTGATCTAAAGATTTTAAAGTACACTGTCATTCCTCATCAATACCTCCGTCCCTCCTTTCCCTCCAGAGCACAACTGTGTCTGTCATGTCTTCTTTTCAGTTTTTGGCTGAGCTAGCTGCACAGCGGCGTGGGTTAAAGGGATCCAGAAAGATGGGAGGCAGAAAGAGATTCTGCAACTCTTCTTCCAGCAAGCACCGGGGGATTCTGGGTCCTCTTTTATCCGTTTCTTATTTGCATCCTGATGAAAATGCATGAGGGATGAAGCGAAGCAGGATGAGGGGTTTAAGGTGGATAAAGCCATGTGCGACACGGGGAACAGTTTGTATCCAGTTGTAAGGAATTCGAAACACTATTTTATTGTATGGTTGTAGAACACTGGCAGAGGGTATTTTTGCTAAACTCCCCCCCCCCCCCCCCATCTCATCCAACAGGAAGAAGAAAAACTAAACTGGTGAATTAGAGAAAGTCCTAAAAGATTCAGCCATGAATTTCAGTCCTTTTTAGTTCTGCAGCATTTTGGTCACTCTTAAGTAGTAGCCATGTTGTTAAGACTAACATTTATATACAGTGGTGATAAATGCAATATGTGGCAGTGATTCTGCAGTCCAAACTTACCATCCCACTCTTTCGGAATGCTGCCCTCCGTATATTCATGCACTGAAAAATTGGCTGGCACTACGATCCGCTTGGCACGGACATGCCTTCCTGGATAAAAAAAAAGAAAGAATACAAGTGTGACTTGATGGAGGTTGCTCACCAACAGTGCACATAAAATGCAAAATAATATAAAAACAAAGAAGTGCAGAGGCAATGCTCTCTATGTACAGATACATACACACACACACACTCAGAGGGATGACAGTGCTGTGACAGGCCATGGATGATTACCTCGCGGCCCTCGGGCCCTTCTCCTCAGATCTCACTGAGTGGCTCCAAATCTGGGCTAAGCCTTTATGCAAATCAGTCTTCCTTTAGCCCAACCAACCACAGCCCCCCTCGCCGTGAACCCTCTTCCAATCACGGCGCTCTGGCTAACAATGCCCTCCAAAATCAACATCAAGCCCAGCAGGAGACAAAAGAGGTCAGATATCACAGAGAACAGGAGACGCGCTGGCTGCATGGAATATTAAGTGCTCCTTTTCCCTATCTGTATACAGCACGACGCTCGCTGGCAGCAAGGCCACTGCCAATTATTTTGGTCAAATCTGCTGATTAGACAAGTTTGGCTGGCACACAATGACATGGAGACGAAGGCGGAAAGATGGGTGGAGGGGTGGCGTCTAAGGAGAGAAAGAATAAAAGAAAGCAAGAGGGATGTGTCTTTGCGTGCTCAAAAATAACAAGTACTCTAATGTGTTTCCATAGTTTCTTCTCACAGGTAGTTGGATGTCTATCTATCACTTCCATTCCTCTGAGAAATGATGAAGCAAGGAAGGGAGGAGGAAGAAGGAGCTGGGAGGGAGAGAGTGATGATGCATGGCAAACACAGCTAGAAGGAGAGAAATGTATGGGCATTGAAAAGAAAAGAAAAAAAACCCCAACACGCTCCAAAACACAGACAATCTGTCAGGATTCCGTCACAGTTTCTCTGCAGCCGACCAGATGTGGACAAATGGATGCAACCACACTGCAGACTGATGGCCTTAATGTTTACTTCAACCAGAACAAATAGGCCTGGCACTGGGATGGATAAATGATGACTTTTAAAAATGTGGAAAAGTGAAGTGCACATAGTTGTCTGTGTACTGACCCCCCCCCCCCCCCCCACACACACACACACACACCAATTTTTAGCATAGACTAAAACATTTTTTATACATGTGCTGTTCTGTAATTATGTCTTATGAGGATGATACTTTATCCAGCACATACAGTAATCAGGCCAGCTAATTAGGCCAGTAATGCTTTAGCTCAGGCTTGGTTCCCTTTAGATTGTCACAATAGGGCCTCACAAGCTCCAGCACTGCAGCTTGATTTGTGTTGCATCCAGACCTAAAATCCAAACTGAAATTTTGCACCTGTTTTGCAAACCAGCAATAAGCAAAATGCATCATTGCATAAAAAAAATAAATAAAAAAAAAAACTTAAAATTTCCCTTGAAACCCAGTTTCAAAGAAAACTCAATAATAACACAACAAATCCGACAAAGAGCTAACAAGAAGCTGTGTTCTCTAAGCATGGGCAACTAATATATTTAATGCTAATAATAAACAGATCATACCCAAATTTGCAGGGATGTGGGTGGCAGCAGACAGAAACGATAAATTGCATTAAAAGTCCCCACATGCAATGTGCTTAGCTTCGGCTAATGCCTATAGATAACAGGCGTAAAGAGAGAAGCCTAGTTTTCACTGTCTCTTCTACATTCCATCTCCTCCTCTGTCACAAACCAACACAGCTCTTTTCTTATGTTGTTGCTTTTTGCAGCATGACTAAACCCCTTCCACTACATCTTTTATCCAGGGATTTTAATGACAAACACAGTGCCTACATATATTTTGGATCCTCCCAAGTCCCAACACAAACAAATTGGGAGGAAACTTGTCAATCTGGCTGTGGTCTTTCTCACACTCTAGTAGCTTTAAAAAGGGTATTAAAAGATTCAGTTTGAGACTATAGTACTGTGATATATGAGAAAACACTAAATCTGAAAATGTTATAATGTGACACTGTACCGTAGTTCTTGGGATTTTTGATATTTCCATGGTCATTGCACAGGCTGACCTGGGGGTGAATTTGCTGGGATGTCCACTGCTGGAAAATTGACAGCTGTCTTAAATGTTTCACTTGTAAATAATCTTCACTATAGAATGATGGAGTCCCAAGTTGTTGTTAAAATGACCTTTCAATCCATCCCTGATTGATGGACGGTCACTGCTGATGTCTCTACTCTTTGACATTGTGTTAACACACACCTGTTTGTTCCAGACAGCAAACTCCTAAAACTCCTGCTTTTACAGAGGTAGTCACACTTAATGAAGATCACTTCATTGCACCTGATTAGCTAATACTTTCCCTCCAAACTCCTCTGAAAGCAGCAAGGGTGTAATGTTTTTTTTTTTTTTTCCCACACACAGATTTTCCATTTTAGTTTGGTTTTAATATTTTTCTAATGAGGGCAGCACGGTGGTGCAGTTGGTAGAGCTGCCACCTCTCTGCAAGCAGGTTGCCACGGTTCACATCCCAGCCGGGGGCCTTTCTGGGTGGAGTTTGCATGTTCTCTCTGTGCATGCGTGGGTTTTCCCCGGGTAATCTGGTTTCTTCCCACAGACCAAAAACATGCATGTTAGGCTGAATGGTAACTCTAAATTGTCCCTGGGTGTGAGTGAGAGAGTGAATGGTTGTTTGTCTCCATGTGTCCCTGTGACGGACTGAAGACCTGTCCAGGTCGTACTCTGCCTCTTGCACAGTGACTGCTGGACATGGGCACCAGTGATCTCTGCAACCTCAAAAGGAAGAATCGAGTAAAGATAATGGATGGATGGATTTTTCTAATGTCCCATGACATTGAAAAAATGTATAAGACAAATGTTTGGTATTTTATGTGTCAACAACTTACACATTATTCCCATCACACACAGACATCAACATGAATGTAAGCCATCAGTCTGTTCCACAGACCTACACCTACATTTCTACACCACCCAGAGAGAAAAAGAAGTGGTGGTATGAAGCGTGCCAGGAGGTCAGGATCTCAGCAGGTGCCCTTGTGACAGGTCTGTTTTCTCATCACTCACTAGGGGAAACCTATTTAATAGTCAAATACACACCTGTACACACACACACACACACACAAAACTGGCTAGAGAGCAGGCAGATTAACCTGAGGGACAGGAGCAAGGACGCTGCCTCTTTACCGTGAATGACAAATGCAGCACTGCCTTGGAGAGGGGGAGGGTCCAGCAGCAGGGAGGAATGAAATCCCATTACATAAATATTCATGAGCCATCTCACCTGTCTGAGCACAACTCATCTGTGAGCCTCGCTGTGCATCCTGGGGGAGGGGAGAGGAAAGGAAGGAAGGAAGATGGGAGACAGGAGGAATAGGGATGGGAGAGGGGGTTGCTGTGGCAGCCGTACTTCTTCCATCCCCATTCGTTAAAATAAGACATGATGCGCACTGAGGGCTGCTCTTTGAACCCTGAACACACCCCGCTAAACTCCATCACCTGCTTCAACACACTTGCACACGCCAAACCCCCCTCAACCTCCAAACGTCACACATCAGCTCCCAGGTGAGAACTGCTGGGAGCGACCCGAGAGGTTTCTCACCTCCACAATGTCATTGCGGGCATCTTGTGTTGTCACTTTTGCTGTGTTTTTATTTCAGACAGACGAATGTCAGGGGAGCACACGTCAGTCAACAATGTATTTGGAAGAAACACCGACAGAATACATGGAATGAGATTCCTGCACCTGACCCCAACAGGTGGGCTATGTCAGACCCCGCCCTACCAGCAACACCTACATCTGCAGCTCAGAAAACCCCACCATGTTCACTTGTGTTTCATCAAACTGCAATGCAGACAAAAAAAGAGCTCCTGACTGCAGCAGCATGGCAATCATCACTTCCATCTTGAGAAAGAGCAGCTTTCTCAGTTAGACGCAGGGAATTTCAGGTCTCACAGTCGCGGGACAAAAAGCTGCTTTGATGCAGCTAGGCCATCAGCTTGTAATCAGACGAGTTTTTCTTCTTCCAGCAGAGCTGTGCACAAAAGACGGGTGAACACGTGAATCGTAACGGACAGCTTTATGAAGATGGAATGATCTGATGAGCATCGTTAATACAAGGGCAACCAGGTACCGATATGAATGCCCTCTCTCCCTCTTGCAATTTCTTCCTGAAAAAAAAAAAAAAAAACATGGAGGGGATGTGTGAGGCCTGTAACCATGGTTACCCATTATTCCAGAGCCTAGTGATGTAGGATGAGGTTTAGACAGAAAAGGCCAGTCATTGTTTTGCATCAGTTCTGGTGAGAGGAGGAGCCTGGATGTAGTGTGGGCCTGCTTGCTTTAGTCTTATTCAGCAATCGCTCTGTTTGTCTCCGTTGATCCCACGGAGCGGTGAGGGACTCGTGACAGAGGAGAGAAGAATAATTCATAAAAGTAGTAAGACATAGAAAAGAATACTTTGATTTCCCCCGTGGGTTCGCTTTACCTAAACGCAGAAAGCAATGTTCAAAAATGGAAGAAATATTTTAGTTCTCTGTTTGAGACCATGTATTTCCATGACATAATGCCCCCCCTCCCCACCTACATTGCCCAATGGGTTATAAAAAGGCCTGTGCCAGGAAGTCAGGATCCTTTGTGAGGCTTTGGAGCAGTATGGACCCCCTTCCTTCCTCAACACCTCCTCTGCAGCCCATGATGTCCATACACCAAACTGTCCACCCCTTTCTGTTCACCTCTGCTACACCCATCCAACCTCCCCCTTCTTCCTTTTACTTCCATTACACCTTCAACAGCCCTCCTCACACCAACACCACTCTCCCACCATTAACCTACACTCACCTTTTCTTTCTCCCGTACTATCTATTTCCCTGTTCCACCCACCCATTTCACCCTCTTTCTGTCAGAAACCCTCTTTTCACTTCCTATATTCTTCCCCCCACTCTATAATTTCCCCCCATATGTCAGCATCTTCTTTGTTCTTTGTCACTCACTTTCCGCACCCCACCTTCTTCTCCACCCTCCAATAGTTTCCCTTAGCCCTATCTTTTCTTCTTTCTGCTTCTCCTTGCCATACTTCTCTCTGCCTGTCTGCTTTATTAAAATATTCTGACTTGCATAAAGCAGCGGCAGGCTTCAGGAGACGTCTCCTAGTACGCCGACCCATCTGTCAGTCTTCTTAGTTAAGTTTCTGACCGACAAAGAGCCCTCTGGTGTCAAAACACATTGAACGTGAATCACATCGGCTCAATGAGATTTTTTTTTTTTAAATCAGTTTTTCTTTTTTGGGGGTGAATAATGTCAGTTGCATTTGTTGGCATCAAGTCAGTTTGAAACTAAATGTATACTGACACAAATCCCAATGCAGAAAGGCAGCGTTTAATGAACCTGCAAAATACTTAAACCACTGATATTGGATCAAAGCCCAGTTGAATTGTTTTACCATTGAAAAGAAATGTGCCCATCTCTCATTTTCAACATCTATTTCTTCAAATGTCTTTTTAATGAACTAGCAAAGTCCCTCCATGACGTGCCACCAGATACACATACAAACACACAATTGGCAGCCGGAGTCAAGCTAGATGAGCTGAATCCTATAATGATTAAACAACCTTCATTTAAACCCCATGCATTGCAAAGCTGCTGATCAATTAGCATGATTTAGTGTAGCAGATCTGGACATTGTCACTTTTATAAACATTGACTTGGTGTCCTACGGTAGGATAGACCCTCCTTCATCACGCCCAGGGGACAACTTGTGGCAGAATGAACAGCCATTTGGACCCTCGTCGCTTTCCACCGTGAGTCTTTTGGTGGAAATATGAGGCTCGAATCAACGCTGCGATGACACACAGCCATCTGTTGTTGTGTTAAGTGCGTTAGGGCAAGAAGAGGAGGGAAAACACACAATTGCTGATTGTTTTTCTCCCGCTTTCCTTTAAAATCCAAAACAAATACACATAATCACATGGCGTGTAGCTATTATGTGGCATAAAACACAGGTACACAATCAAACACTAATGCAAACACACACACACCTCCTTCCTCAGTCCCCAGAGTCGCCAATCCTGAAATAGCAGAACTGATTCCTTTTTAGTTTTTTACTTCATAGAGCAGAGCTGGTGAATCAAATAAATAATGGACAAAAAACGAGGGCTAGTGATGGGACAACAAGTCAACGGCTCTTTTCTCTGTAACAGCGCAACACACATGTGAAGAACCTCTGAGCCTCTTCCATTCTCCGCACAGTAAACGAGGACCAATAGATTAAAACTGCATGGCACACACTGCTAAAATGAATGGTACTAAAAATACATCCTTTTCACAGAGACATGAAAGGAAACTGCCTTTCCCCTGTCCAGTATTGAGCAGCCATTGATTCCAAGACAAAGGCTACACCTCCTCAAAGAGGTGGGAAAAATAGCAATCATACAGGCAATTATTTTCAAATGTGCCTGCAGCAGCAGATAATGTCAGCACGTCTCTCTCCCTAAATAAAGGGAGGGAAGGCAGGCGTCAGAGCTGCAGGCCCGCTGCTGAAGACGAATGAGCCCATTCGCAGAATGCTTGGCTTTCATCTGGGCAGCATGACATGGCGCCCCCATGCAGTGTGAGGGAGAGTCGGGCCTGGGGAACAGAAGCACATAGAAATTTGGAAGAATATAGATTCTCTATTCAGCTATGTGGAAACAACACAGAGGCAAAGATCCTTTTAAGACCAACAGTCAGAAAGCCAGTGGCTCTCTTGTAGCTCTGCCACATATCAGACCAGACTTACTGGACCTCAGCAGCAGCACAGTGGTTTTCTATGGAAGCACAGCACACAGAAGGCCTTTATAACTGCTGGAGCCTTTGTAAAAAAAAAAAAAAAACAGAGGCAGACATTCTTTTTTCTTTCAACGAGTGTTCCTCATGTCCACGTTCTTTCATTTAGGCGAGAAGCAACATCTGAAGTGAGGAGTTTAGATGGCTCTTTTTCTGGGTCCATCCATCCACGCAGCTGAAAAACTCCACAGTTTTGAATGGAAATCTTCACTGGAATTACTTCAAAGAAGAAAAATCAAGAGGCAGCAGTACATGGGAGGGACACAGGACGGAGCGACGATGTGAAGGCCAACAAGAGAAAAAGAGTATCCCAAATAGAAGTCGTTCAAATCAAATCAGACAAAAATAAATAAAGAAAATAAAACACTAAGTCATTCTCACTAAGTCGCTTTCTATTTCTGTCATGGAAGCCATTTTAATCCTAACATGTAGCCTATCGCTGGCCCACTGCATTGCTTACGCTCCAGTTTTCTAAAGTTAACTGATTGAGAGAGGTAGAAAATCGGGGCAGCAAAGCATGGATAAAGGTAGAGAGGGACAGCCTGACTGTGCGGCAGAGATGGACAAATAAATCGAAGCAAGCTAGCAGACAAATAGAGACTCTCCACCCGTTTTAACCAAAATGTACGTGCTCTAGTGTAGACCCCTGCGGTCCTTGCCTTAAGGCTCCAAGCCCATGCTCGGCCTATCAGTTTAAGATCAAAAAGAACTCGCTTTAGCAAGACATATGGACTGAATAATGCATATGCTTTAGTTCTACCCAGCTGAACAGGGTAAGTGCAAAACAGGGTACAAATATACACACTATATTTTTATTTTTGTTTATTACTAATGCATACTTGAGCCGGCGCATGTACCTCTTTGGTATCAGGATGACGTTGATGATGTCAAGAGGCAGTTTTTATTCTACTGGCCAGCTAGCCTCTCTACAGTGTCAGTCACTGCGATGGGACAGTGCATACATTACTGTGTGGTGTGCAGGAAAGCTGCTTCTGTGATGTCTCATTTGAATAGTCTGACAGCCAGGGATAGAGGAGCAGCCTTGTAATGAATTATAAATATGAGGTGAGTGAAAGATCTCTCCCCCCCCCACAAAATGCTGAGAAAAAGGGAAAAAAAAAAAAAAAAAAAAAAGTCAAATTCAGTCAGAAAGAAGGAAGACGTGCAACCCGTCAAAGGCGATTTCCTCTTGAATATAAAAAAGACAAACAAAATGGCCTAATGTCTTCTGCTGGGAATAAATTCAATCTGATGAATCATTTCATTGCTTACAAGCCAAATGATGCTTTTTAACTTGCAATATCATGACCAAAACGTACAGAGGGCTTAGTGTGATCCCAGATCCCATTAACTAATGGATGAACAAGGTGATGCCTTGAGGTTAAAAAGAAAAACAAAACATTATGCACACTGTCCAGATTACTAAACTTTCCACAGTACATGTGAAGTTGTGTTTAACTAAAATGTATTTTTGTCACTTTAACCAGTAGAAGTGATAATGTTCGCTATCCCTGCATCTCATTCTTCAAAACAGAACTACATAGATGTCATTGCCTTTATTTAACCAGATTTTAAACCCCATTAAGATCAAGATCTAATTTGTAAAAAGGGGTCTGGGCAAAAGTAAATAATGCCAACAAACTTACTTTCTGCTGAGGAGGTCGGGATCATCACAACATTTTTTCTAGCTTCCTGTTCAAGATTTGCTTTTGTAGAGAAAAACAGGAGAAGGACCCACAGTAGGTCTGGCCATTGATTTTGAAAGGCCAGAAAGATGCTGCTGAATCAAACAGTTCAGACAGATAGTCCTGCCATGACCTCCACTTAAATCCCCATTGCAGAAAATTAATAATTTGATATGCAATAGTGTGTGTGTGTGTGAGGGGGTACCTTTAACAGAGTACTAAATTTGGCATAAACTTTAAACATAGTAACTATCATCCGTGTGATTTTTTTTTTAATCACTAAAAACCTCTAAATGCAGGTTCGTCCGCCATCTAGCGGCGATTTTATAATGTTGCACGAAGGAAAGGGTGAAAACTAAAGTCAAATCTATAAGAAAGCACTGGAATTGTGATGCAAATACAAAACTTGTACCGTATAAAATCTATGTGCTGTCATCTTTTCATTAGGAATGTTTGTAAGTTGCTGAAATTAAATCAGCAAAAACAAGAGAAGTTTAATTCACAGAGAGAATACACGTCTGATGTACAGCTACTTTCAGTAGGCGCTTTTCTACGTTAGCTTCATCTATGTGTGAGCAAGAATGGCTAACGAAATCAAAAAATTATAATTTTACCATAAGTAACTTTATACCTGTCCATGTTTTCTGCTCGGGGATAAGATAATAGTTGTTTCCAAAATGGTCTGTTCCAACGTGCTCTCGTACAATTCCAAAGGTCCGCCGTAAGATGCCAGCTATCTTGCTCATGTTTACAAGACAAGTCGAAGGTTCTGGAATGAAACGTTTGCCTTCTGGTTGTCTAAATCCTCCTCTCACGCTCTTGTTTACGCAAGGGCGCGTGGGTCCAAGGAGAAACAGCAATCTGTTTCCTGATTGGACGACGACATTTTTCCAACCAATCACCGCTCCCGTTATTCAACAGTCAGTATTAGCCAACATGGTGTCCATTTGTTTAGACTGAACAGGGAGCTAGAAGAAAATAAACACAAAACCCCCAACAAAATTACAGGAATGATTCCCTGGACACATTTTAAAGATGCGTTAGGTGTTAATACATATCTTAGCATAACATATTATTTTGACAAATAGGCAGCTATTTTTCACGAATTGGAATATAACTTATTGTGGGGAACATGTTAGCCTTTGAGCTAGTAGGTCAATTACCAGTAGCTCATATTATTATTATTATTGAATAGTTAATACAAGTTTCCCCTTAACTTGAAGCTATGTTGGGATTTCTGACAGCAAGACAAGCTGGTCTGGATGATCCTATGCGACTGAGACGAGCAGAGTCAACGAGAAGGTGAGATATTATATTTAATCTGCAGTTTTATCATTTTAGAATCCTATCATTTAGTTGTACCTAATTAAAATATGTTGTACTTTCTCACCAAATGATATTAATCGTTGTTTATTGTTTGTCTGTCAGAGAGCCATGTTTGAATTGGTTATTATCTGCATAAGTTTATTACAATGAAAACCCAACCTAAGAGTGACAATGTATTTATATAAAATATTCATTATGTTCCTTATGGGTATCTGAAGAATTAGTGAGGTAAAACTGCTCCACTGAAAATAAAGCTAAATAAAACATGAACATTTTAATGATGAAAGTAAGCAGACTTTTGTAGAGGTTACTTTTGTGTGCTTTTCTTTGTTTTTGCCTCTTAGTTTGCCCTTTCACTGAGTAATTTAAAGTACACAGTACTCCTCCCTTTCAGAACATCGATATTTGCGAAACATGTATTTTACAGTTAGTGCTTGTATAAAATAAATTAAAATATAAAATAAGGATTTCAAAGATTTCAGCATTCTCAAAAACAAGTTAGTTAGAGACTTAAATAAGGTTTTCTAGGATCATATTTCTCCAGTTTTAGCTTCTCTCCATTGGCTCCCTGTCAAATTCAGAATAAAATTCAAAATCTTACTTCTAACGTACAAAGCTCTCAACAACCTAGCTCCATCTTATATTACAGATCTTATTGTTCCATACTTTCCTAACAGCACTTCGCTCACAAACTACAGGTTTACTTGTGGTTCCCAGAGTTTTCAAAAGTAGAATTATGGGAGGCAGAGCTTTCGGTTATCAGGCTCCTCTCTTATGGAACCAACTAGTGTCGGTGAGGCTGACACATTGTCTACTTTTAAGACTAGGCTTAAGTCTTTCCTTTTTGATAAATCCTATAGTTAGGGTCAGTCTGAGTTTCTTGAGCTGTCCCTTAGTTATACTAATATAGGCTTATGCTGGAGGACAAACTGACCACAGCTTTTCCTCACTCTGCTTCTTTCTTTACTTGCTCTACTTTACCTGTTTTATTTGTAATTATTTCTATCTTCAACATGTTTTTTGTCTTTCCTCCAATAGAAAGTACACCTGGACCTGTCACTCTATGTTTGTTTTTCTCCTTCCTGTTTTTGTATTTAACACTTTTTGAATCCTTCCTGTCCTCTCAAACCCAAGTTGGTCGAAGCAGATGGCCGCTCATCCTGAAAGTTGTTCTAATTTAAGTGTTTAGAAATAGTCAGATCTTAGAGTGCAGAACCAGTCAGTGTTGTTTGATAAGTCTGTATTTTTTACTGCATTCCTTCAGCTACATTTTTTTTCTACTATAATTTGTGCTTATGATTTCTTGTTATTTATTTCCTCAGGATTCTTAGTCTGAAGTTAAATCCTGACAGAGATGTGGATCGAATTCATGGAAATGGTATTAATACCATAGATATTGAAACAATTGAAGGCAGATAGTAAGTTTTTATTTACCTTTCTAAAATAGTTATCCAATTCACTACATTATATAAAGAAATGTAATACTATAAATTGTAGCAGCTAAAACTACTTTCTTGACTTAGTCGTAATTGAGCCAATCCATTGACCCAGTAGTAAAAGTTTAGAAACAAAATGTCTTCAAATCCCTTTAGGGCAAGCAGGCTGCAGCATAAATGTTCAAATATTTCTGACACTACTACACATTTTATAACAAGAGCGCCAAACCAAGTGTTAAATTATGTATTTTGTAGGATTATAGCATTTTTTAACAGAGTCATTCTGTATGAGAAGTTAACATTTTCTGTTGTTAGCATGTTGTCTGGAGGTGCTGATGGTGTAATTGTCATCTATGACCTGGAGAACTACAGTCGGAAACAGCAGTACACCTGTAAGGCAGTCTGTTCAGTAGGCAGGTAAATGCTAATCCATTTATGTACCCACTAGAGGGTGGTATTCTACTTAGATCTGAGTCTTCTTCCAGTGCTTTTCACTTATGTAACATAATAAGCTAAGATAAGATAATAGGAGTCTTCACTTTTCACTCTTCGCAATTAAAAAAAATACCCTCTTTAACATGATTTTGCCATCGTTGATAAGTGGTGATGTTTTTATTTTCTCAGATCAAGCCGACACGTCCACAAATTCAGTGTTGAGACAGTCCAGTGGTATCCTTATGACACTGGCATGTTTGTCTCTAGTTCCTTTGACAAGACCATGAAAGTTTGGGACACGGAGACTTTGAAGGTGAGCCATGTTAACTATAAACTTATTTGCTAAGTTTACACAATGCATTTTAAAACCACTAATGCTTTTAAGCACAGCTGTACAATTTGTCCTCTCTGTGCTGTAAATAAAATGAGTGACCGGAATTGGAGATGCTTTACAGTCAAGCATCAAACTGTTATTACAGAGCTAAATCAAACTCCTCTCTGACAGTTTCAACACATACTGAAGAGTTATTAAAGAGCTAAGGGACTGTATTGGATGACACAGTGACCTCTAATAGGCAGCTCTACCATGTTTCTTCTCTCTTTTTTTTTGCTCTTTTCAGTATCTCTTCATCCCTCTTTCTTATTTTCTGCTTCATGCTCTCTACCTTTCTATGCCACATTGTCCCATATGGCAGGCTCAGGGGTTGCGCTAGAGTTACACTGGCACCACAGTTTCTTTAAAAGGTCACAGGAGGGACAGATATAAACTACTGACCTTTTAATTAGTTTGCTCAGTTTCTTTGTCTCACAAACATGAACGTCATCGTATCTGCAAAAGAAATAGCATGTTTTGCATTATTGTGCACTCTGTCTTTTGTGTGTGTTTGCGGCATTTGTATGCAAACAGAGTTGCCTCTGTTTGCGTCGAAGCCCCCACCCATTGGCGATGTCCATGCTGGCACACACTGACAAATGGAGCACAGAGAGGCTTTTTATGTCTGCTGTAAAATTTGCATTGTAACCACCGCTGCCGCTCGAGCAACTACCCTCTGAGCTGCTCTCTTTTTTTTAATCTAATTTTATTCATTGAACTCTGTTCCTCTGTCCTCTTGTGACTTTATGTCGCTATTAAACTTTAAGGCCACTATTGTTCATTTAATCATTAGATTAGATTTTCATTAAACATTTATATAAATGTAAATATGCACAGCACTGAGCATATAGATAGCTTCCATGACTTACCTTTTATCTCTGCCCCTCCTTTTTTTTTTTTTGTGCATATTTTATCATTTAGCCTGCTGAAGTGTTTGAGTTTGAAGGTAATGTCTACAGTCACCACCTGTCCCCCATCGCCAGGAAGCACAGCCTCATTGCAGGTGGGTTTTGAATGTTTTGGCTGATCTCAGAGGTACAAACTAACCACCACAGCTGCTCGTATTTCCATCATTCTATCCTAAAAAGCACAAAATGCAGGACAAAAATCCCATAAATGATCTTATTTGTCAGTAGTTTGTTGCTTCAAGCAGTGTTCTGCGTGATGAGGCTCCACAAAACAACATAGATTATATCCTTTCATAATACCCCAGGCTGTGAAGTGACATGCTCCTACAGGGGACAGAATCGGGTCAGAAGATGATCACATATGAATTGACTTCAGTGGAGAAACATTGTCGGAATCTCTATGTTTTCAGCTTACAGAGCAGGACTGACAGGTTAAGCATGCCTGCTGAGTATGTTCTCTTACATACGCACAAAGAAGTTTCTACAAACCGGTCCCTTTAGCACTGCTTGTGGGCTAGAGGTCGCGTCTTTTCTTCCTCCTCGGCGAAGCTTGTCAAACAGGTTGCAACATCCCGACTCTTCTTGGTTTTTTGGTGTGTTTTTTTAAAACACGAACCCTTTAAATGGAAACCATTCCTAAAAGGCAAACTTAATGCTAGATTATACTGGTGGAAATACAGTTTTAACTGTAAAATTATTTTTGTTTGTTATTAATAATCAATCTTGTCTCCTTTCATGTTTTTGTGGTAGCTGGGCATGAGTGTGTTAGCTCCTTAAGGTTTTATCAGTTTATCTCATCAGTTAAAACTTGGCTTTCAAGTTATTTCTGTTATGAGGTTCGTATTTGTTCTACGTTATTTTGACACATTTATTAGATTCAAGTTATTGTAGATTCATCTTAATTGGTAGGAATGTTAGAATTCAAAGGATGTAATTGGTTTTGAACGTCAGCTGTCTGTTTATAATTATTTTTTTTCCAGTTTTTAAGTGGAAGCCTTTCTCCCTTGTGTAAACCATTTCTGTGTGTTTGAGTTTGCAGTTGGCACCACAAACCCTAAAATCCAACTTTGTGACTTGAAGTCTGGTTCAAGGATTCATGTTCTCCAGGGTCAGTGCACCAAAATATCTTAACTTTGCCTGCGGTTAAGTGAGTTCAGAAAGTCCCGACCTTTTTTAGGCTTCATTGTGTTTCAAACTCAACTAATATTAGAACTAGTTTCTTCCTCTTCTTTTGTCTTTGCACACAATACTAAGCAATAACAAATCAAGAAGACACTTTTTCGATGTGTCTTGTCAATAATAATAAAAAACCAACACTAGTGAAATGTTTATTGTGTGATAAATACATTAACTGAGAAATGAGTAAGTGATTAAAAATATAGAGTAATCCTTAATCCTTAGACTATTTCAAGATCTTTTTGCCGGAACAAATGTTTGCATTTCAGCATCTTAAAAACATTTTATTAACCCACACATTATTTGGACCTGGAAGGAATAAAATTAATTTAAAGGGGGGTGCTCTTGCTTCCCATCTAACCTGGTCGAGCTTGAACTTTTCTGTCACAGCTAATGGGAGGATCAGGAGGAGTTTAAAAATGTGTGCCAAATTTTTGGGACAATGGCCAAAAAGTCTTGAGATTGTCATGGATGCCAGGATAACTTAAAGAATACACGTCTGGGTGTTTTAAAGCGACATTTCAATCATTTTTTTTTTTTTTTTAATGCATTAACAGATCTGTTACTTGCTTTTCTTTTATCAAGTTTATCAGGATTGTGTTAAGATGTACAAAGAAAAGATTCAAATCTTTTTAATACATTTGAACCATATAATCGAAAATCTTTAAAGTCTTTTCTTATGCACTGTTTGTACAATTGCATACAGAATCATGAGATGACCAGAAACGTTTTTGCCAATTCAGGTCACAGAGCAGAAGTGCTGTCTGTGTGTTGGTCGCCCCGATACGAGCATATCTTAGCCACTGCCAGGTAAGCTCCGTTTGCAGACAATTCATTAGCTTAAATGCCTTTGGGTCACATTTAAGGGTTTTATAATTTATAATGTCAAAATGTTCACCGTGTTGTGCCCCAGCAGTTTGTGTCGTATAACAATGCAGCCATCTGGCCACATTCAGACACTGAGTCAAGGATAATGGTAACACATCACTGCTGGATAGGCAATGTGTTGGTTTAGTAGCCGTGTCAGTTTAGCATATGGTAGATACAGTCTCCACCTTTTTCATGCCACATTAGACCTGCTAATTAACCTCCTGGGATCGGTTTGCTTCTGTGCCTTTGGACTGAAAGTGATTTTGAAAACTGCTGGTGAAGAGAGGCATACGGTAATGTATGCACCAGCGTGTTAATTCCCAATGGAAAATTGACCTTTAAAAACAAAAATGAGGTTACACAGGCTGTTGGAAATAAAGCACGTCTTGAGCTTCCAGTTTTCATTCCAGTTGTTAGCTTAAGGTTGAACACAAATATAAATTATTAGTTAACAAGAGGAATAAATGTGTAAAATCTTCCTTTTAAGTGCGGACAGCAAGGTGAAGGTATGGGATGTGCGTCGAGCTTCAGGTAGTCTCTTCACTTTGGATCAGCACAACGGAGAGAAGTCAAAAGCCTCTTCAGAAACAGGTCAAATTAATTTCCTCTTTTTTTTTTATTTCATCTTTTCCCCTGTTTTATACTGAGCAAGACTTTTGGTTTTGCCTACAGCCTTTATTTGGAGAAGTATAAATGTTGAAGTACTTATTTAATGATGCTGAGGATGGACCAGTTAGATACTGCTGTATCACATCAATATAACTATCACTGTCCTATGATTTTTTTTGTTTTTGTTTCGCCACCCTGTAGTTAAAGTAGTGCTGCATAAATAGAATGGAAAGCCTGAAAATCTCACAGTAGCTTTTATTCAAATTCAAATTCAAATTCAAAAATACTTTATTAATCCCAGAGGGAAATTATTTGTTGTTGTAACTCGTTATCCTCATTTCATTAAGAGACATTATAGATAATGATGGCTGTAAACAGGAAGGATCTCTTGTAAAGGTCCATCCCACAGTGGATCCTAAGTAACTGGCTGCAGATGCCGTCCGATCCGTCCACCCAGACTCGGCTGGCCTCTCGGTTCCCCTCGGGCTGTAGGACCGTCCAAATGCTGGGCAGAACTCCTCCCAAAGTGAGGGCCACTCCTCCCAGCAGTCTGCCGAGCTCCTAGTCGCTGTGGACAGACAACTGTAGGTGCTGAGGGACAATCCTGTTCTTCCGCTATCATGAGCCATGTTTCCTGCTAGTTCCAGGATTTCAGTGGTCAGGCCCTCGAGCACAGCCGGCAGGTAGATGAGAATCCATCCACAGAACATCCTTCTCAACTCATTTGAGATTTGGGGCTGTAGTTGAGATATTATTTGAGCTTTTGAGATGCTAATCAGCTGCTGTTGGTTGTAGAAAACTGCCTTGTTGCCATGATTACGCATCATAA